CTCTCAGCTTGCTCAGTTTGAGTGTTCCTGTAGGTTCCAGCGCGGCATTACATTTGCTAATTCTGTCACTGTTGGCCCTAAGCCCACCCACTCTTTAAAGGTAAAATCCTCCCTTACCATAACACAGACATACCCCCATCCCCAGCCTATCAGATCTGTTCAGCCTTCATCAACACTACCCTTCATGTTCCACATGTGTCCTTATGAATTCATTATGATGTGGCTGTTCTTTAACACTAAACATTTTAAATGGATATTGATGCTTTTTTGATACAATTAAACTGTCAATATTTGGTTAATTTCAAATTTGCATTTGTACTACTGTCACTTGGAGTGGTCGAACCTGGAGGCATCAGCCATTTTACTTAGTCACCACTTTTAGCTATATTGATTTTTTATTTCAACTGTTTATTCATTATTTTTTGCACTTTTTTTACTTTCATATAAATGTTTCATCTGTTTATTTACTTTTGGCTGTCAAATGTACATCCATGAGTTTTATCTCACTGTTGTTTTATTCATTACTTTTAGCTAACTGTTTCAGTTGGGTTTCTTTTATTTTAGCTAACCACCGTAAATCCATGTGCCTACTTTTAGCCAACTCCTTCAACTGTTTGGCTACTTGAACCATTTATCTATTACAGCTCACTATTCCAGCTGTTTATCCATTACTTTTAACTGTTATTTCAACCATTTATCCATTAGGCTACGTTTCACTTCCTTATAAACAAATACATGGATATATTTTTAATTCAAACTTAGTTAAGTTAATAAGTTGAGTTTTTACCCCCCCCCTGGCAGCACCTGTGCTACCCCCTGAAGTACAAGTAGGCTTTACAGTAGGAGGTACAAGTATTATTCCCAAACAGGGAATAACACTCCTGTATTGTAGGCTAGATGGAGTATAAATGGTTAATCATAGACAATGGGACATCACGCGGAGACATTTCAGAGACACTATATTAACAACAACAGTAAACATCACGTTTTGATGTAAACTATTAAAAAGAACACGTAACTTGAGTGTGAGTGCGTGAGGCAGGAATTTCCCTTTAATGCGTCTTTGCATCAACATCCTTTCATAATTTGACTAACAAACATTCTGCTCCACAACCGGCCAGAATTTCATCTTGACCAAACACAGTTGTTGTGATACTGTATGTATAGGAAGAGTCATCCCTCTGAATGTAGGCTATCTAAGGGTCCAGTACTCACAGCCAGAGGGTAGAATAGGATTGCTCAATGTTCCTTAACAACACAAATATTTACAGGAAGTAAGCAAAGCCAACTTGCCAAGTCAGGGACCAAACTTTAAGCAGAGATGGGGTTTTCCCGAGGGGTTGCAACTGTCTGTGTTTGATTTTAAAAGAAGCTATTAGTGTTACGAGTTGGGTTATGGTTACTTTTACTGGTGAAACATTTCAGCGCTTACGTTGACTTTGAACTTTTAAATAACATTTCTCCCCCAGCAAATTCAGTTAAAACAGCATTTTTTTTTTACGAATGATTCTGCCCAATAGCTCTTGCACAAATGTGATTTTCTGCTTAAAATTACTTATAAATTATTAAACATTTATCAAAATTGCGACCAATTTATATTTTATTCAATTGAATTGATTAATCAGCTTATCATTTGGTTGGTTTCTCCATGTCTGGGGAAGATAAAGACACTACCATGTACAGTAGGAGTCAATAGGGGCCTCTCAGGAGGTTAGTCTGGGCATGTCTATATACTGAATGTTGAACATGTGCATTAAATACAATGAACCAGCATTAAACTGATTGTTTTTTTTTTCTCTTTAGAGGCATTTTTACCATCACTTTTTGTTTGATCATCACGTCTCAATTTTTCCTCTTCAAAATTTTATTCCACATGTGTGAAGAAAGCTATAAGCACAGAGACATGGTGTCCTTGTGTGACCTGCACTTTGAAAATCTTCAACCTGCCACGCTACTGCTAATTGGCGAGAGATGCGTATTGTAAAGTGTCGTGCGTAGGGTGGGGGTAAATGGCAACTTACCTGCAACAGGAAGCTTTTGATGTAGACTGAGAGCACTCTGTAGAGCTATCACTGTGATTTGCATTTAAGCACTGCCACCTAACACCCTGCTCACACACACACAGACACACAAATACACAATCACACACTGGACAATTACCACCTCTTCTCAAGTTATTGTGTCTTGGGAACAGTCAGGAAATAAAGACAAACACCAATAGATCAGTGAAATACACCAAGTGATAAACCTAAGTGATAAACAAAAAGGCTGTTGACACTGTAATTTGATTTAGACTGAAATGTGTGGATTACTTTGGATCTAAGAAAAGAAACAGAATAAAGAAAAGTTAAAAAAAAGAAAAAATACAAAGATTTTGTTAGGTTTGTTGAATGAAAAAAAAAAACTTTTAACATTAAAAATATCAAACTGCTCTGGAAGCAGATGGGGCTGTCCATTATTATCCCAAGCTCACAGCAGTAGCCAGCAGATGTGGCAGGAAGGAAGGCTGGGAGGGAAGGCTCTGGAGAGAAATCTAGGCCGTCCCTTCCGTGCATGTATGCCTGGATGATCACACCGACGAGAAATCTACAATTCAACAAGCACTTCATGTAGGCCATGCCTGCAAGCCACGCAGCTGCGGACAGAAATCTGCAAGTATCTCCAGTGTGTGTGTCTTTGTGCATCTCTGTACGTGTGCGTGCGTGTGTGTGTGTGTGTGTGTGTGAGAGAGAGAGAGAGAGAGAGAGAGAGAGAGAGAGAGAGAGGAGGAGGAGAGAAATGTTAGGAAAAGAAAAAAGAGGCTGACGTGTAAGGTTTACATATTTGTGAATCTGTAAAGAAAGCTTTGATTCTTTAATACGCCAGCTTCTATCAGTTACTTTGAGAGAGTAAAACTATAAAGTCATAACTTAAAGGCTTATTAACAGGTCATCACTGCGCCATCTTCTCCTCATTAAGCTGTTTTGTAAGGGTCAAACGTTATTCAGTCACTCTTTCAATGTGCTCTTTCATTTCTCTTTTTTAGAATAATAACTGTATAAAAGTGCTGTATAAATAAAGTCAAGTGAAAACCGGAAAATATCCTCAAGTTTTACTTCCTTAAAGGTTCATTTTTTAGAAAGTATTTATTTGTTGTTATAATTATACTATTGATTATATTAATGTAAAATATGTTGTTGATAATATCAATAGGCTATTTAAATTGTGACTAAAAGAGGAAAACAAACTGTCACTCACATAAAAAGGTCATACGTTGAGGCCTTCTCTTGAACGCTGCAGTCACACTTTGAATCCCTAAATGAATATTACACGTCCGTGATAAGAGTGTTATAGGGGACAGGAGACACAGTGTATGGTAAAGTCCCCTTAAACTCACAATTATACCATAAAAAATGAACTACTGGACGAGTCGATGCAAATATTGACAGTGGGTTTTTTTTAGCCTACATTTTGTCATTGATCAGCAGCAAACTCAGTTCATTAAACTTGATTTGTTGTCAGTGGCCTGTGTGTGTGACTGACATGAATGGCACAGTAAACTGACAGTAGCCTCCTCCTGATGCATGCAAACATAAATAAATCAAACCCTTTCTTTCCCCTTTTTCCCCCCTCTCTGTCTCCAGCTTTCTCCAAAACAGTAATCCCAATTTGGAGGTGTAGTGGTTGCCATGGTGATGTGTGCAAACGGATAATGGGGCAACTGTTAACCTTTGACTGGTTAAAAGCCCCAAGCCGAGGGAGGGGAGAGGGGAGGGAGGTAGGGTGTTGGTGGTGGTGGTGGGGGTCTAGGGAAACACACACACACACACACACACTGGGATGTCAGAGAGAAAGGAAATTCACACTCATTTCCTCCGTGTGGTTTCGGTACAAATCAACAACATCCTGTCCTTTTGTGAATCCTGCCTGCCCTCATGCTGGTTTGCGTTTCAGAGTAGGCGTTATAACCCCCCCACCACCACCACCCCCCACCACCCCTTCTCCTCCTCCTCCTTCTCCTCTGTTTTTTTTTTTTTACACTGCCATAGAAGCTGTAGTCATACTTCACATTGTTGCAGAGGAAGGAAGGGCACGTCCTTGTTCGCAATAAACGGCTTTAGATAGAACAGGAAGGGTATTATTTATCCTAATCGAGCTGAGACATGTGACGTGAAAGATTCTGTTGGATCTCGATATCCTCGTCGAGAATATACTAATTATAATGAAAAATAAGCCTCAAACTACCACTGTGTTTTATTTATTTTATTTATTAACCCCGCTTGTATCATATTCTTCCAGATTTATGGCTTTTTTTGCAGAGATGGTGTGTTTGCAGGCCATGACTGCATGCTCATGTTTTTCATTAGATATTCTGGCACCAATTCATCACAATCAGAAGAATATTAGAGATCAGACTTGCCAGCGATGGAGAAATGAATTGATTCATCGCAGATTTAGCCCACTCACATCTCGCTCTCTCGTTTATTACACAATGCAATGATCGCGTCTCCTTCAACATGCAGCAGGAAGCGCGAGCTGCATAGATAAATAAATTAACAGGCTAAAATAAAGCGAGAGTGGCACCACCGCCGATGAGCCGACTCTTTATGTAAATCAGGCCTGACATTGCCCTTGTGACCAATAAAAGCCCCCACCTCTTCATTCCCTCAAACCCCCCCCCCCCCCCCCACTTCTTTCTCTCTCTCTCCCACACACACACATACACACACGCCTCATTCCCCATTTCTTCCCATTCATAAAAATCTCGGCACCGCGCCTGCGCAATGCCATTCTGAGTCCTCCCCATTCATAAAAATGTAACCTCCGCATTTCAGCCCTCCCGAGTCGCTCTGCCCTCCCATTCACAAAAAAGAGAGAGAAAAAAAGCCGAGGCATCTGCGCAGTGCCGTCCCTTTCCTTTCCTCTACCCTCCCATTCATAAAAACTCACTTCCCTCCCCCTCAGTGGTTGCAACATCATACCCAAAGCTCTGCGTCCACAACCGCAGTCGCCTTTTACGCACCAGCGAGTGGAGATTAGTGCTGGAGACCCGCTCTCCTATTCGCATACCGTGCTCATATTATTTCCTAATATTTGGACTTATCTTTACTCAACATTTCTTTTATTTTTTGGAGCTACTCACTCGCTCGGACTGGACTATAACCCTGCGCGCAAACGTGGTGCGCAACGAAGAGATGAGCATTTTATCCTGAAACCACAGTAAGTGATCACCTCTGGTGTTTTCTCATCGCTAAATGTTTGTAACTTGCGAGCTTGAGGCTGCACAGACCCACCATTCAGCTTCTTTACTGCCTATACGCTTCGCTGTCCCTCTCAACCAACTGGGTCGCAGGCATGAAAACGCTCTTGCAAATTCTATTTTGCAACAAGCTGTTTCCCCCGACCCGTGTTTGCACACTGAGTCAATATTTAACCACCGATTTCGTACCAAAAGCAAGGTTGAGGGCGCACAGAGGGGAAACGGTGTCGTGTTTTAAAGCGTAACTTGTTCAAAACGCCACTTTCCCCCTTTTTTTTCTCCTTCTTGGTAGCAAACATGGATCGACATCTATCGCTGTGGCTGTTCGTGGCTTTTTCTAAAGCCACTGTCACAATAAAAGGTAGCAGAGGAGACCTACATTCCCAGCTCAGTCTAAAACCTCCGTCAACTCTGAAGCCTGTACATGTTTTATCTTCGGTTTGCGTGTCTCGCTCTCGCTCTGCAGCGACCGCCTGGTTGGCACGCCATGTAGGTTATGTCAGGTGTTTTTGCAATTAACCCCGAGCGTTTTCATGTTATCCGGTTTACTTCCAATAAGATATCAAAAATCATCTTAAATCGGCTTCTGTTGGGCGCCACAAGCGATAACATCCAGGTTTACGCATCAAACTACGCACTTAATTGCCGCCGATTAAAACTACCCCACAATCGTCCCTCCGGCGGCGGCACACAGTGTAGGGCTTCACCATTTTCACCATCAAGCTTTCTACTTTGGTCAATTTACAGATATTAAGATCGAGGGGTTGAATACGTGGTTACAATGCCTATATAAACATGCTATTTGAGTATGCCGAGCGGCCGCCTCCGGTTTTTATGACTCAGTTCATTCACATATTGAAGGGAGGGACGCACACACACGCGCTCGCACACACGCACAGCTCCGAATTGGAGCTCATAATGGTCTAGATTTGACGATCACAGGCGCTTATGTCAGTGCCAGCAATGTCGCAACAGGTTTCTCAAACAGGCTTTTTGCAAATCTGAGGAAAAAGGAGAATAACACGAGCCGATGTTCCAAAGCAAAGTAAAGCAGTGACGACCTGGCTCTTTTTTTTTCTTTTTTTTTTTTTAAATGGAATAGTCCATCAATAAGCAGGTTCATGCGCATTAATAAATCACAGCACGACAGATTTAGGGTTCTTGGAAAATACATGTTGCCTTGAAAGAATGGTCAAAAACATATTGTATACGGTCGTGTGAAGAAACGGGGTTTTGTGGGGGTAGCTATAGCCTATATTTGGCAATAAGGTAACTAAACACCGCAGATATGGGTCAGTGGAAATGTCGACTGTGCAGAGCCGTTTGTCTTCAGTCACCTTTTTTTTGTTTTCTGTAAAGTAGGTTAGGTCTTTGACGGCTGCCGAGCGGTCATTGATGAAATGGATGAAACCGCTTTCATTCAGTGCTCATCATGACTGGGGCGCACTGATTCATGCTTGCAACACCGAGTGCAGCCAGCAGCTTTCATTCACAAAAAAAAAAAAAAGGAAAAAAAAACCCTGCAGTTCACAGAAATCAGTTCCATTCACAAATTCCAAGATTGGTCCTTTCCTCTGATCGTACTTTGTGTTAATAAGATGTATATTGAGAGAGAAAATTTGCAAAAAAAAAAAAATTGTAATTCTTGGTGGGTGTTTGTAGCTCTCATTTTACTGTGTGATTCTATACAAAGACCTCATTTCCTTTGCCTATTGCGTTCATTTTGTCTTTGTCGAAGTCCCCCTTTTCAGGCAACCTTCTCCTCTCTTCGCTCTGCCTTGTTTTGCATCTTTGAGTCTTTTGCATGCAAGCCCTGCTCTCTGGTGCTCCCTGCTCTTTGGAAGGGAGGCGATGAGAGCCCAACTTCTATTGTTCTAATGTCAAAGTTAGAATGGAGGAGGTTTGAAACCCTGTTGGTATTCAGTCTAAAAATCAAGATCGTTTGGAAACTCTACATTCAGATTATCGCAGAGATCTGGCCTGGAAAAAAAAGATTCCTGTTGAGAGGCTGGGACGGTTTTTTAAGATTTAATAATTGTCTTGGCTGTAGTAAACTGCTTGTAACATATCTTAGTTTTACATGCTGTCTGAGGTGCTGATTTGGAACTGAGTGATCCCATTTACTATCATTGTATGATTTATTACAGTCATATAGAAAAGTCTCAGTCATGTGGGGAGAGTAGTTTTAGTAGTTTAGACGTGATCTAAAGCAGCAGTTAGTCATCAACAGTGGTGATGCAAAAGCAGCAGGCAAACGACATTATACCAGAGTGTTAAAAGGACTCTTTAAAACCTGACCTGCCAATATACCTCAACATATGTTGGAATTCACATCATGTCAAACAAACTGAAGGTTTCAACCATGACCTACCCTGAACAAATTAAGAAAGGCTATGTGTTCATGTTCTCACACTTTATAGCTAACCTGGCCCGCATTCTTTAGACAGTGTTATTTTTCTACTGTCACTCACTTCTCATAATATACTTTGCTTTATTTGTTGGTTAAGATAAAGACCTTTAGAAAGAAGAGGTTTAAAAGGGGAAAGAGTGAGAACAGCAGCAGATGTTTCCAGTCATAACTGTCTCTTTTGTATCTGTCTTTGCAGTATTGCTAAATGCTGCTCTAGAGTGAAGACGTGCGAGGCACCAGCCTACACATGGAGTCCAGGGTTCCCCACCACATCCCCGGAGTGTCCTCCTCCCTCATATCCCAGCCCCTGCTGGACAGTCGAGTGCCCTACGGCCGCCTGCAGCACCCCCTCACCATCTACCCCATCGATCAGATAAAGTCCTCGCATGTGGAGAACGACTACATCGACAGCCCAGCTGTCGTCTCCCAGCAGCCCCCGAGCCAGAAGTCTGTAAACCGAAGAATCACCTGGCTTGGTCAGAATCAGGAGGCTTTCCTGGGGGCAAACCACAACCATCACCACAATCACCAAAACCAGCACCACCAGCAAGGCAGGTGCGAACCCCACCCTCACCAGGACACCACCACCCACCCTTGGATTTCCTTCAGCGGGAGGCCAAGCTCTATCAGCAGCAGCAGCAGCACCTCATCCGATCAGAGGCTGCTGGACCATGCTGCACCCACCCCAACAGTGGACCACCACCCAAACCTGCACCTCCACCAGGGCCCCTTCAACACAGTCAATACCCGAACTCCAGGCTGCCTCACTTCCTCTGAATCTAAGGTCCTCACCTCCTCTTCCTCCGCTTCCTCCTGCTCCTCCTCCTCCAAATCGCTGGACCTCAAGTCTGCTAAGATGCCTGCAGGAGGCGTGTGCTCCACTGGTGGCCAGCAGGGGTTGGCGCTGATCCCTTCCTCCCCAGCCGAGAAGAAGCACCTCCTTCTCTGCGAGCACTGTGGGAAGTGCCGCTGCACGGAGTGTACACTCCCCAGAACCCTACCCTCTTGCTGGGTCTGCAACCAGGAGTGCCTGTGCTCTGCTCAGAGCCTGGTGGATACAGCCACCTGCATGTGCCTGGTCAAAGGGATCTTCTACCACTGTACTGAGGATGAGGATGACGAGGGTTCCTGCGCCGACAAGCCCTGCTCGTGCTCCCAGGCCAACTGCTGCGCTCGCTGGTCCTTCATGGCCGCCCTTTCCCTCGTCCTGCCTTGCCTCGTCTGCTATCTGCCGGCCATGGGCCTGGCCAAACTGGGACAGAAGTGTTACGACAATGTAAGCAGGCCTGGCTGCCGCTGCAAGAACTTGCAGGGTGGCGTGAGCGTCCCCGTGTGTAAAAACGGAGGCGTGGAAGCGAAAGTTGGGACGCTAGAGAAGCAGCAGCAGGGGTCATGATACTGGACCAAACTGGCTGGCAGTGGCCTTGCTAGAAAAACAATGAACAGGACCACACAGTACTTTCTCGCTCTCTATGGATAGGACAATCCAACACCAACCCCTTAAACTACCCCATTAATCTGCTGGAAGATGACTTATGTAAAACAAAGGTACTTAAATGGCTTTTTGACCTATGTTTGATAGGGTGGTGAACATAACGGCCCCGATCAGAGTTGGCTAGTAGAAATAGCTAACAGGCCTTCTCTTTTTTTGTTGTTTTGTTTTTTGTTTTTTTTTCCGTTTGTTTTTTTCTTGGTTTGTGAGAGTGACACAAGAAGAAGACACTAGATTGTGGGACTGATGCTTGTGTTGTTGTGTGAAGATTGGCCCAAGGCACAAAGTCATTGTACCTCTCTGCTGCTCTGTATTTCTCAGCTAATTTTGTAACGGTAACTAACCAGACGCTGGTTGCTGATCCTTGGATAACATAGAAGTTAAATGATGGAGAGAAATGTCTGTACAACCCCTACCACCACCTACCAGTGCCCACAGAGATCGCCCCTCCCCACCCCCCCAAAAAAAAAAAAGCACAGCCCCATGGTCCCCCTGTCTGAACAAACATGTAAACAAGTGATTACCTATACTGTGGCTTTATGATAGGCCACTGCAAGAGTGAAACCACCACTTACTCGCTCACTCTCTCTGCTATTATGATGATCACCATCTCTTAGTGTCGCCATTTTTCCTGTTATACCTTAAGGATGCTGGCTTGGTATTGCTAACATTTTATCTAAGTTTTTATCTCCACGAAGGAGCTGTAAAAACAAATCTTTTTGAAAATTTTAAAATAATAGTAATTTCCCATAATTCTCACCCAGGTGTACTACTGCAAGTGAGAGATAATCACTTTACAGTGTGTTTCCTATTTTTGGGGGATGAAGCCCAAACTTTCTAGAAGATTTTGAATGCCGTTCACCAATCACCACAGAGGTAATGCATGTCATGACCTGCATGCTCTAGTGTAATGGTTACCCACCGTGCTAGAAGTCGATGTGTCGTAGAGAAACGTGTAAAAAAAAAAAGAAAAAAAGAAAAAGAAAAAGTACACCCAACCTTCTCAGGGACTGTTACAGAAATCCTCTCTAGAACTTGGCCTACAGCATGTCGATTTCTAAACTGCCTAAGAGCCTGGTCTACTTCCTCTTTGCACAAGAAGGCAAAGAAACATTTAGGGGCCAAAAGGCAATAGTGAATAATTTAAAACTAAGTAAGCTAAGTGAGAGACAAACTGGCCAGAAAATAATGTTTCCGGAGGAGAGAGGGGGACGCAAGTGATAGAGAGCGAAGAAGGGGGAGAGAAGGCATAGCAAAGTTGTTGTTGTTGTGTTTGTGTCTAGTCAGCCTTTGTCAGAAATCAAAACCTGCCACTTGCACAACCTTTTTAGGACGAGGCAAACCCCTTAAAGGATGTACTAAAGCACAGTATTAACCACCTCAGCTATCTCACATTACATTGGCGTGCACTACATTTAGCCCACCCCATCACCCACCCGCCCCCTCTACACACACACACACACACACACACACACACACACACACGCAGTGTCTTCATTAAATTCTAATCATTATGCTGCATAGCTGCGTTAGTCAGATAGTCTACCTTTTATTCTGAAAGTCTATTTTTGTGGCTTGCATGACATTCTTAGGACTTTGCCAAAGGAAGCTAGCATACAGTAGCATGTTTTCGCTGTCTGAGTGATCACAGTTGTTACGCACTCTTGCCAAATGGAGTTGACGGCAGTTGGTTCTTAAAGGCATGCTGCCCTTTAATACAGATGGCCTTTTCTGTTTGGCATAAAGGCATACTGTCTTTGTTGCTCTGTAACACACACCTCTCTTTCATGTTGGACCCTTAACTTCAATTAGGGCGCCTAACTTTGCTCACACCTGTATTTGTCTTTTGCACAAAACCGATATCACACAGGAAAAAAAAAAAAAAAAAGGAAAGGAAAAAAAAAAACACACACACACACACTGTCCTTAGTCTTGAATGTATGAGGCAATATTTTCAAAACCTAGCAATTCAGTCTGAGAGAAAGGTGCCAAAACTGAGAATGATTGTGTGACTGGGCAAAGGCCTAGTGCGTGTAGGTGGGCAGCAAAAATCACAAATGTTTTGACAATATATTTAGTAATAGAGCTATGCAGGTGAAATGTTATTTGCTGTAAATAGTTTCACAACATTTGTGTTCTTTAGAAGAGACTTTTAAATGTCCTTGAAAGATTGCATGGTACATTATAACTACAATTCAGTACAAAATATATAGAGAATATATTAGATATATATTTTGAGGGTTTTTGAGGTTGTGAGAAAAAGAAAAGAGAGGGACGGTGGCGAGAGGAAGGTTTGGGAAAGGGTAACAAAAATGACAGGTCTTTCGATCACTAGCACTTGATTTAGAAAAGTGTGCCCGGCAATAAAAAAAAGAAAAGAAAAAAAAAAAAAAAAACTCCTGCTGTTTATGCTATCCATGGCTCATTAGCAGTCGAGAGGCTAAGCTAATTCCCTGGTTCCTCTCTGAGTCCTAAAGACTGTGGACTCATTGAATCCGCACAGGGAACACAATCTACCCCTATCCGGATCAACCCATTTCCTGCTGTTACTGCTCAGTGTCTCAGCTCTCTCCCCTCTTTTTTTCTCTTTCTCGCCCCCCACCCCCAACCCCCTTCCTCTTCTTCCCCCCCTTCCTCCCTGAGAAATTGTCCAACAAACACCCCTGGCCTTGATTGACAAACACAGCTGCTGTGCATAAACTTGTCATACCACAGAGACGGGAGAGAAAGACAAGTCTGTCTCTCTTTTTCCTCCCTTTCTCGCTGTTTTCCGCCTGTCTTTGTCTCTCTCTCTCTCTCTCTCTCTCTCTCTCTCTCTCTCGAGCTGTGTTCAGTGCCATCCTTTTAACCAGTGGACCTCTTTTTTCGACAGTTGTTGCCTTTCTTTTCTGTAACTCCTCAGCTCTGTCACATTAGCTTTATACTTTTACATGTGCTCGCTAGCCTGTTCAAGGTGTGGAATAATCACCCACAATGACAACTCAATGACTAAAACCTTTTCCTACTTTTCCTTTTTTTTTTTTTCTCCCCCCTTTGCTACAATGCTGTGATTTTTACACACTCATACCCCTTCGTGTCGCACGTTTGCGGGCACAGATTTCTTTTTTTTATTATTATTATTTTCAACCCAAACAAGAGGAAAAGTCTCATACAGCTGGGTGATGCTACTCCATTCCTTTATGCCTTTGCAATGTCAATGTTGGGGATTAAGAAATGAGATCTGTGCTTTTGTTTTGTTTAGATATAACAAAAAGGAAAAAAAATCTCTCATATAAAAGGTTCCCTTTATAGATATATTTATTTTGAAGTTCTATTTTATATAGTATTTATTTAGATGCCAACCTTTTGTTTGTGAAGAAAGCTTATGTCGAAACGGAATGTACATTGACAATGGAAATATATATTGTTAAATATACCAAGCTGTTGTGTCATTACTTTTGTGAGTACTTTTTAAGCATATAACACACACACACACACACACACACATACACACACACACACACTCTATTCAAGGTCCAACATGCTGAGGAAAACCTTAAAACCAGTAATGGTGCATATGCACAGTACATTTACAGACAGTAAATACATTATAATCTACTAGTAGTGCTTCTATAGCCACTTATACTTCTTGCGAATATTCTTCAGTCACCATATGCTGATTAATTTAACTACTAATAATTCTATAAAAAACACATTTCTGGGCTTTAGTTATTTTACATCAACACTTCAACTTCCTGAGGTCCCCCCTCCTTCCTGTGTGTGAATAGATCGCGCTCTATAAAACACTGGCCCGGCGGTGGAGGCCAAATAAAGCTGCTTGACCTCAAACCGAAAGAAAACATTACATAAGTAACAGGAAATAATTCATAGACTTCCTCTGGACAATGTAACATGAGACATGAACCAGTAAGATGGTCACTTCATATCAGAGCCTTTACTCTATGGCTGCTGTGTTTGTGTGCGTGCATGCGTATGTGTGTGTTTAACTGACTTCCTTTTAGTTTATAGGGGTGGTCTGTTATAATCTGGATGTGTAACATTCCTTTCTCTCCAAAGCACCTCCTTATGAAGCTGGAGCACACATACAAAACCTTCCTGTCACAACACACACATACACACACACACACATACACACACACACTGTCGTCACCCCCACCCCCATCCCCCAGCCCACCTGTGCTGCTGTTACCCCGAGGCATTCTTCCTCCCCTCGTGCCCACCCCCTCCTTGCACCTGGGAGAGCAGAGGGGAACAAATGAAAGAGGAAAGGTTAGAGAAGAGAAGAGAAGAGAAGAGAAGAGAAGA